GCTTACCCAAGCCTCCAGACACTCAGTTCCAAATCACCAGGGCATCCTCCATAGCAGCCAAGCTAGGTTCTTCAATGTTCCCACTCTCCCTGGCTGTCCAGAAGCTCGGAGGAGGGTGATGATAAGGCTGAACTAGATCAGAGCTCTCCTGCCCACCCTCGGATTTGTGCCTAGGGGAGGAAGGCACAAGGTACTAAAGGAACTAAAAGCCAAACCCACAAAGCCACTCCCACTGCACCCAGAGGAGCTTTCAATAGATGAGTCTGAGTTCTCCCTTCCCCCTTCCCTTTTCACATTTACCCTTCCCCTATTTTGCAAAGACAGGCACACTCCTCCCACTCAGAGTCTCCTCCAAGACTCTGCCACAGACAGGAGTAATTCATATAGGAGATGCCTTCAATCAAAGCCTTGACATTAGTACCTTGTCCACTGCCTTGATACATATTTCCAATATGGTCTTAGTTTATAACTAGTTCCTGTTTATTAAAAGTACAAGAGTTATTTGAGTCATGCACTAAAAATATTAAAAATAACCCTAAACAGTAGTCTTGTATAATAAAATATACTAATGATAATATTTAATTTTAATTTTCTTGTGGAGAATTAAGAATAAAAATTGGAAACAGTCGGGTTCGAGAAAGGACAGTCCAGTTGTTGGGTGTTTGCTTTACAGGCCTGAGGACCTGAGTGCGATCACCAGAACACACATTTCAAAAGAGAGAGGCACGTTTCCCTGAGATTGCAATCTGACCAATGCTGGGGAGGCAGAAGCAGGCAGATTTCTATAACTTACTAACCAACCAGTCCATCCCGACAAATGAGTTCCAAGCCTATAAGAAATTTTGTCTCAAGAGAAAATCAATGATGGATGCCTGAGGAATGACGCCCCCAAAACACCACACACACACACACACACACACACACACACACAAACACACATACACACACTCCTATACCCAACATAAACAGAAAACAAAATTGGGAAAACATACGTTTAACTATGAAGATTTTCCACAAAGGGAAAATTCCTCGATCACCTCAGAGCTTGGTCATGAGGTCCCAACGGCGGCTTCGTTTTGGACATTTCAGGGGGAAAGCACAAGAGTAAAGCGTCTACCAGGAAATAGGACTCAAGGTATTGGACCCAGGGACTTCTTAGGGCCTCTTCTGTGTCACAACAATGAATACAGCTCCCTTCCCCCACCAACCCCGTACTCATCCCTTCCCCCAGCCCCACCCTTGATGATTTTCAGTTTCTCTTTCTTCATTTGTTGCAATAATTTCTATCATCCTCCTAACCTGTTCTGCAACGGCTAAAGACGTAGAAGAAACGAGCATTTGGAGAAAGCACACATATCTACACTCAGATCCATATATCACCATCATACTATGGCTATGGACCTCTACCCTGCAGTTGGCTAGAACACTTCAAACCCATGCACGTCAACACTCTGGCTCCAGGAGAATGTGTCCAGACACAACAGAAATGGCCCCAAAAACCCCACCTTCCAAATTCTGACCCCAGCACTGAATACCTGACTTCTAATCAGCTTTTATTATCATTCTGTGTGTATGCATGATGGAGATCGGAGGCACAGGTGCCCTGGTACATCATGGCGTGGGTTCTCTATCCACCATTACACAGTTTCATGGTTTGAACTCAGGTCACCAGGCTTATGTAGCCAGCTCCTTTACTCAACAAGTCATCTTGCTGGCCCAAAACAATAACACTTTAGAAAGAGATAACATTGTTTAATACAAAGCAAAACAATCACTTAAATGATGGCCAGTGCCTGCTTCCTGGTACAGACATGTGCTTTTATTTCTCATGTACTGAACACAAAGAGCCGGACACCCACAGAAACAGCAGGGATAGAGTCAGCCTTAACTTCAGCGGGGTCTCCCTAGCTGATCCTATACCACAGGGACAATGTCTCCCTAACTGGATCCTAAATAGACCAACGTCTCACTAGCTGGATCCTAAGTGGACTGATGTCTCCCTAGCTGATCCTATTCCACATGGATGGTGTCTCCCTAGCTGGTTCCTAAGTAGACCAATGTCTTTCTAGCTGGATCCTAAGTAGACCAATGCCTGGCTAGCTGGATCCTACTCCACACAGAAGGACATGGCAGCACCACCTATTGCTCTTTTCCCTTTTGTACAGTAGGAACAAACATTAAACGCATTAGAATTCAATGGGGCTGTGCCTATGGCAAACCAACATAATGCCCGAGACACCAGAACCTTCCTGTTAGTAACTTTCGGGCTCACATTTCCTTCCTTCTGAACACGTTAACAATTTTTACGTCAGTATCTCAGTCACGATTTCTAGACCATCCTTGCTCTTCCATCCAATGTAACCCAAATACAATTTAAAATAGTCCTTCTATCTGCTGATAGCTGCTAACACACATGCACATATTCAAACCTGTAAGATATACAAATATATGCATATGTAATTTTGATATTAGTTAAAGGAAACACAATATAAAATAATTATTAATAAATTGCAGTCCGCTTTTGCATTCTCCCAAAACCCACTCATTTTCTCTCAACACTTCTGCAGAACGTTCCCTCCCACTAATGCTGGGTTGCAGCCATCCCCTGCTGTTGCCAGAGCCGCTGCATAGAGGTTCGGAAGAGCTAATGTTGAGGCAGAGAAGAAGGAACATGCCAATCCCACCATCTAAAGTCATTCCTTAGGTGACTTCCTAAAGAAGACATCTCAAAGAGCAGCCAGTCACCCTCAGTCAGGATGCAGCAGGAGAATCTTCTTCTCCCACCCCTCCTGGAGTCCTTCCTTCCTACTTGAATGGATAAAATGACGAGCAGAGGGACTGAGGAACAGAAATCAATCCAGCTTTGCCCATTATGAGCCATTATTTAAAAACTGATACACACTAGACAGATCTTTTCATTCAGGGACCAGAAATTTTTCCAAGGGATCAAACACATACAGAAATTATTTGATTATAATCTTTCAATATAAAATTAATAATATCAGCTACAAAAGCAACTTGAAACCAAAACTCTAACATCATAACATTGGTCCAAATAAAGTAGCAATTGTCACTATCAAACTGTGGGAAATAGTTCAATGGGAATAATTCATTTCTTATCAGCATTGCAATCTTAGGTCTGTCTGGGTCGGAAGAGGTCAACCCTTCCAAGCCCTGTTTTCTTGCATAAGTTTTTGAAGTTAGCTTACACACTGATTACTATATGCACAATTATTTATATTTACTGGGTGCTCCGTGTGACACTTTCCAAGCATGTGTATACTTAGAACAATGTTTAGAGCTTAGAGCTGAAGTCGTTGGCTGTAACTCATGTTACTACCCGATTCAGGCTATGGACTGAAGACTTTATTTCCCGTGTTGTCAGTAGCCAGCGTTCAGAAGAATGATTGACAAAATGCAAGAGCAGAGAAATCTAGGAGACAACGGACAGAGGTTTAAAGTCTAAAATGTTTTAAAAGGCTAGGATCAGACGCCCTTTAATAGAGCTGATTAGTGTCACAAACATTTCCCTCCAGAAAAATCTACATCTGCAGAATTCCTTTCAGCCTTCCTGAAATTGCTGAGGGGCAACACACCTTAGCTGACTTGCTTGCCAAGGTCAAAATTCTTCAGGCTCCAAATTCTGTTTCAATAAACTTAAGCCATTTTTTTTAATCTTCAAAATTAGTTTATAACAATATGTGTCACTCATTGAGTGTTATTTAACTGGCTCATTAAAGTTACTAAGTAGCAAAAAATATGTGTCACTGACAAATTTTATATCATGCAATACGCCTATTGACATTTCCTATAATTGAAACAAGATTTAAACAAAAAAAGCACCATAGCATTTTTCCTTTAACCCACCAGAACTAGTTGCCCACCACACTGTAAAGCTGCTCCCAGCAACAGCATCCAAACTATGAAAAGGCTGTCGGAAACCTGAGCTAGGGAAAACCTACCCCCTATCATGTTCCAAAACAGATCACAAGGCAAGAGGACCCATGAGAGTCCGACTGCAAACTCCCAGAGGAAAAAAGAGAGAAGCATAAAATCAGAACATGCTCACACACTTAGAACATGCCTGAAGCACTTTCTGATGCTTCGACATTAAGTAAAACTTCTGATTTTTATTTTATTTTTTTTCATTTTAAAAGCCTCAAATGACTATTGCTTTGTCTCTCGTCCTTTATTTTCTATCGGCATCCCTTCTGGAGTAGCATCCCCTCTTTTATGAAGCCCACTCAGTTTTCTTCAGAAAATCCTCTAAATTATTCAATGCTAATAAGGATCTAACTTGCAACCTCTACACAGAAATTTGGCTAATCTTAGTTATCTGACTATTTACCAAATCAAAACAGAGAACCCAGCAAGTACAATCAGACCTCCCCTGCTACAGACAAAGGTCAGGGTGGGTGATAGGCACTGGCAGAGACCTGACACCAAGGAGAGGACCAGAAATCAGTTTAAATCACCAGTGGAAGCAGCTGGAGGCAGTCACTTGTTTCCACTCCTCCTCTGACGACTCTGCGAAGAGTCTGGAACCTGCAGCGTTTACAGTGTTTACATGTTTCCTTGTCCTTGGAAGTTAGCACAACCTTAACAACAGAGGGGTTATAGAAATTCTTTTGACCTTTGCATTGCTGCAGAATTGCAGCCTCAAAATCACTTGAAAAAGTTAGCCGGGTTTTCATCTAACGCCCCCGTGAGTACGGATTTGATTTCAGGACAATTTTCCAGCATTGCTTCGCTTCAGTATGGCATTACAGACAGACAACTACGGTGATAAGCTTTAGGTGATTCGAGCTAAGTTGTAGCTAATACATACCCAGGCTATGGCCATCCCTGCGCACTTCTTTCCCTTAGAAGACACATCTTCATCAAGGAAGAAGTGATTTTTCAAAATGGAAAGAGAGAGAGAGAGTTCAGAGCACGCATCCATTCACCAGGGCCAGCAGAAGTTTGGAAGGGGAATGTGGAAAGGAGAGAAGCGCTGGTACCTTTCCTGACCTCTCTGAGCTCCTAGGGTAGATGGGGAACTCAGCCTTCCAAGCAGCAGGATCCTGTCTTCGTCCAACTCTGCAGCTGGGCGGGGGCAGACAGACGCGCGTTGCTCCCCCTGGGCCTGCCCTGGCAAGGTCCCTGCAGCGCGGAGCGAGGTACACCACAAGCTGCAGGGCGCAGCGGGCTGGTGAGACTCGCAGGAGGACCGGCAAGCGGTGCCCTACCCTGCAAGGGCAAGATGTAGAGGAGAACCCCAGAGAAGAATGGCTGGACAGAAGGGAAAACACTCTGCATATAGTGCCACTGAGTACTGAAGTCTCGGTCAAGAGGGCGGGGCGCCTTGGCCCGCAGCTGGTGGGGAGACGGGTGCCTGAGTAGAGCCAGAGCTGGGAGGGGCCCCGGGCGTAGGCTTTCGGGAAAACTTCCATTGTTGATCCACCACCACCATCACCACCGCCTCCCATTCTGTACCTCCATCGAGTTCTGACTGCAGGGTGAGAGGCGGCAGCCAGTGTGAGCAATCAAGGTACGAGGGGCGAATCAGCTGGGGTTTCCCCGGTTTCCCAGTGCGCTTTCCAGGCGGGGAGTCCCAACCCCAGCTAAAAGAAAAGTGAAAGAAAAAGAACCCAAGCTGAGTCGGAGAACAACATCCTGGAGGAGCCTACGGGAGGGGCACCCGCTCCCGGGCCACCACACCAGGTGCCCACATGATTTGGCCACTGCCAGGCCCCCAGGGCACAGAACCTGAAGGGCAACTGAGAGCAGAGAGCATTCCCCGCCCCCTGGGCAGTCGGCCACAGCCTCTGTGTGTCCTGGAACGCCTTGGCCTTCTGTGAAGTCTCAAGGAGCTGGCGTGAGTTCACAGGTTGCCGGCATCCACAGCAACAGGTCTTGGAGGAAGGCTGGAAGCCTTGGAGGGCGGCTGGAAGGCTTTCCCCAGAAAAACCCTGAGAACTGTACTCAGCCAGCACGGGGAGGATTGGGTCTGGAATGGGCGGTCCTCCAGAACAACCCTTGACCGGCTGCAGAGTCAGGAAAGGGAAGTTTCTGAACTCTTCTTACTAGAGGCTATCCGGGGGACTTTTTGGATAGGAGAGTAACCTTCCACTAAATGGACCCCTCTTGGATTACTCTTCCAGCCTGATTTGTAGCTGAATGTAAAACATTGCACTTGTCTCTAACAAAGTATGGTTACAGCAGCATCCTTACGCTGGAACTTAGGAATGGTTGTAGTAATGAGGCATCAACTACCCGTCCATGGCAGGCTGCAGGGGAGTCTGGATTCTCAGCTTCGCAGGCTCCTCCGAGCAAGGCAGGCAAATGAATCACTGAAAAGACCCAGTGGCTTAAAAACCTTTTAAGAAAGCCAGGGGAGATGATGAGGCCTCCTGACAATAAGCTGAAAATGCAACTATGTTCTCTTTGCTTCATTTTAAAAAAAATGGTAAAACTAAAATATTTGAATAATTAAATATTGCCTTGTACGGCATTGCTCATAAAATCGTTTTTATGAGAAGTTCGCTTTCACAAGCTTATCTTGCGTCATGTCGCGTTTACAGCTGAAACGGTAACTAACAGACGTTTTGGTAACAATCACGCCATACTTGACTTGTGATCATCAGAAGTGAAACCACGTATTTTTACAACCATTCAAAATTTTACTACCATTATAAATCGTATTTAAAGAAATGTAAGAATCCAACTGGAGAAATGACCCAGTGTGGTTCAGAATGCTTGTTGCTCGGGCAGAGGACTGACCTCCATTCCCAGGACCCTCCTGAGATGGTGTCCACAAACGCCTGTAACTCCCGCTCCAGAGGATCCAACAGCTCTGGCCTCCTGAGGAACCTGCACTTGACCTGTGCGCACAGAGAAAGGGGGGAGGGAGGGAGAGGGAGAAGGAGAGGGAGGCAGGGGAGATAGATACATTTATTAAAAAATCAAAATGGAGGAATCATATTTTGAACGTAACATTATAACGAGTTTTCTCGAACAATGCCAATGAGTTTCCAGCCCTATCACTTTTCTCCCACGGTAAGCTGAAGCTCCGCTTTGCCAAATGAGCATGCGCTGAGGACGGCCCTAAAGCTGGCAGGATGTCCATTCCAGGGATGTAACCGCAGCGAGCACTCCAGCATGAGTTACCTAGAGGTGACCAAGTAGGTCGCTCCCCCAAGCCTCAGCTTGGTCCACCCGCGACAGAGCTGTGTGTACTCCTGTAATGGTGATTCTTCTCACACCTCCTTTGAGCTCTTCATGGCTTCCGTGTGCTCTGCGGCTGGTAGAGGACTCAATTCCTGGACCACAGCCACTGCCTCCTAGCACAGCCAGATGTTGCTGCCACCAGAAGACACACATAGATCCCAAAGTGTCCTCCTTTGTTGGCACGCTCCACAGAGGCAGCTGCTTTCAGTCAGACTTCCACCAGTCTTGCCATCCAGGCCATGCTGACTGTCCCCAGGACTGACCAGGCATGCCTGCCTGACAAGACACTTTTCAACGGCGGCAGCCGCCACCATGTGTTAAAGTTCTGAACTAATGGAGAATTTCCATAACACTTCATGAAACCAGTGAGGCACTTCGTCTAAAGAGTAATCTCAGTCTACAAAAACAGTAAAAACCGGACGAAAACTACTAACTCCATACACATACGGAGATGTCTCTGGCTATGGGGACTCCATGGATGTACGCAGTGGGCTCTGGATAAGGTGCTGGGTGAAACATGAGGCATTTATGCAGATCCGGGGTAAAAATAACACTAATGACAATAAAGTCAAATGGAGCATTGGAGCACAGGGCACACTGTGTCCTCCTAGTGCCTCTCAAATACGTACGGCAAATTTGCTTTCTTAATTACAGATAAGAAGGAAGTTTTTAATTACTCACAAGTGCCTGCAGTCCAATGGCGTTCGCTTTGCGGCATAATTTGCTTTTGTCGTGTTCTGCTCCAACAGAAAGTTTTAATATATGCAGCTTTATTTTCATGTGCCACAGGCTGTTTGGCAAGATATTGAAAATTACTCACTCCAGTGAGCAAATAAATTCCACCACATAAATTAAAAGGAAAAACCAAGGCTGATGAAACAGCCTTAGCATTGCCTTAAGAGAGCTTTGGCCATTAAGACGTGGAAAGGACTGAAAGCCAACAAACTGAAGCGCGCAGAGGCGGCTGGAGCAGCGATTTTCAGAGAATGAACAGAGAAGTCAGAGTTTAGAAAGCTAAGCAAAATGTCTGATTGTTTTCTGAAGATTAACTTTGCCATCTTTAAAATAAGTTGCTAGATGAGTGTGGTGGCTCGTGTCCATCGGCCAGTGCTTAGGATTCTGAGCCATGAGTTCGATGCTTACCTGGCCTACAGCATGAGACGTTGCCTCGAAAAGGAAAGAAAGAAAAGAAATGACTTAATAATTATTATTTCAATAGATTTTTGAGTAAAAGAAGGAGTTAAATATTAGCTCATATGATTTAATGAATCAGTCCATAGCTGATTCATTTCATTTATATCATTTATAGTCCCCTAAGGGTTAGTTAGTTACAGGGGTGGAATATGATGGTCTTTGGAAAGTGGCCTGTCCTAACTCAAGTTTCCTTGATATTATGTCAAAAATGTGCAAACCTGAAAGATGCAGTGGCCCTTCCTCCTTTCTCTCTATCTCCTCTCTCCTCCCTCTTTCCTCCACATCTCCTTCTTCGGTCCTCCCTCCTTCACTCCTCCCCTCTCTCCCTCTTTTCCTCCCCCACGGTAAGGAAACTCACTTGCTTGTCAAGATGGGCTCATTTCTCAGTCATCTTGGGGGCCGTGGGAAATGAGCTGTGCTAGCTATAGCTTCTGTACACCTTACACAGTGTTTCTGGGCCCACTGTATTTTAAATTGTTTTAGTTTCATTTCACACACTGGTGGGGTACATATACTATAAAATTCTACCCACACATGCAAATAAACACAGGCATTAGCACATGTGTGCTCATAAGCAACATTCAGAAGTATGTTAGAGATTATCACCTTATTTTACAAATGTTAAATTGGGGTCGAGGGTGATTCTGTATTTGCTTCTCTCTTACTGTTTTGTTCGTTTTTGTTTTGTTTTGATTTTCTTTTCCATGCGCCTCACGTGGCATGGCAATTGACTGATAAGGTCGTGAACTTAAGAAATCTAGCCCGAGCCCCAACCTCTACGCTCTGCTTCTTCTCCACTGATAACCACATTCCGCTGCTTCTGAAACACAGGCTGGAGAGGAAATAATCCAGGGCCTCACAGGTGTGCTCTCTCAAGGAGTTTAGCCACCAGAGGATGCTCATCAATTGCCTTGAATTTCCGCCTGCTGAGCTCTTTGTGTTTCTGCAATGGAAGTGCCCTGACTACTGCAGCCCTGCTTCAACCGTGGCTCATTTGAATAAAGTGATTGACAGCAGGCTGGCAGAGAGCAGCTGAACAGTTAAAGCCACACAGTCAATGGCAGACAGGTTGCTGCTAGTTGTTAATCAGATGGGCAACAGTATTGAAGTGTGATAGCTGGGTGTATCCATGGCAAAGCAAGAGATGACACCTGGTTCAAGGTGGGGAGGAATTGACACAGAATGTTTCGCATGTATCTCAGAACACATGCAGGAGGAACACGCGATTTAAACAGAAACAGCAAGTGAATTCATTTGGTAATAGACCTATTGAGAACAGGCTTCTAAAATTGACCTTCTCAATCAGAATCCAATGCAAAATACATAAATTACCCCTCTTAGATTTCTCATTTGAGCATATAAAGAGGAAAATCGATATTGTTGACATTTATTTCAATACTCTGCATCACATATACTTGTTGGCAATGATAAACACGCTTGAAATTATTGTCTGACTTATTTTGTTGCTTTTACTTATTAGATGAGGGTGGAGGCGTGGGCACATGCCAGGCACACATGTGGAACTCGGGAAGAGAACAACATGTGGAGGCATGGGCACATGCCAGGCACACATGTGGAACTCGGGAAGAGAACAGCATGTGGAGGCATGGGCACATGCCAGGCACACATGTGGAACTCGGGAAGACAACAGCACATTGCAGTGCCCTGATTTGCCAAGCAACAGTGTTCTCAGCAGAAAGATTACAAGACTACTTTGGGGGTTACGTTCAGATTAAACTGAGCCCCCTTTCCCTCCCCTCTTTCCTTATACAAAAATCAATTCAAATTCATCAAAGGCATAAATATAAAAATTTAAAGCTATGTAACTAAATGCACATTAGTTAAGATTCTCTAGATTGGTTCTCAACCTTCCTAATGCTGGAACCCTTTAATACAGTTCTTCATGTTATGGTGACCTCCGACCATAAAATTATTTTTTGTTGTTGCCACTTCATAGCCATAATTTTGCTACTGTTAAAATCACACTGTAAATTTTTATTGGAGCAGGAGGTTTGCAGAAGGGATCATGACCCACAGGTTGAGAACGGCTTCTCTAGCGATGCAGAAAGGATGGAATATATATGCGAGGATGCTCTATTAGATTGGCTTACACAAACGACAAACCCAACGATGCTGTCTTCACATTAATGAGGCTGAATTGGTAGTAGCTGCTCAATGTATTAGGCTGAATGCCTGCCTCTGCTGACCCATCTGACTCTTAGGATCTGGGAGAGCCTGGATGTCATTTGGGTTTAGTCAATGTTGAAAGGCTAAAGAAGCTAAGAGCTTACTTCAGTCAGCAAGGAATTGCAGCAGCAGCAATTAGGGTGAATGACCTGGGCAGAACAATGGGAAAGCAACAGAAATGCAGTCAGATGAAAAGTAAGGCTTTCCCCTCATTCCAGAAGGTGACACATTCAGGTGGCTCTTTCCACTTCAAATAACCTGCATGTATTAGTCAGGACTACCTAGACTGTAGATTTTGTTTCTCTAGATACATGGGATTTAATAGAGTGGCTTACAGCTGTGGTTTGACTGTTGCAACAATGACTGTCACACACTGCAAAGTCCAAGAATCAAAAAGTGCTTCAGTCTAGGAGTCTGGATGTCTCAGTTGGTT